CACCTGCTTAGCACACTTCCGTTCATTCCACATGGTGCTGCAGTGGCAGCTGGAGGGCAGTGGAGAGAGGAAGGGAGGATGAGGAAGGGAAGCGAAAAATCTACCGTCATATCATGATTGTGTCCCTTCTACTGTATGAAACACCATTGTGTTGCATACGCGTCACTTCCAGGAGGTGTTGGTGTCACAGGAGGAAGGGACCATAGCGGAGGATAGAAAGCTTGCGCAGGAAAGGAAGGTCCCGGCGGTTGACGGGGGACTAATCTGGTATATATAATGAATCAGCAGCAGTTAATCTCACATTTACTCTCCGTGTCGATCGAACATCTCCATAAGATACTAAATGGCAGGAGTTACGGTTAAAGGCGGATCTTACAATAAAAGGGCAGCCCACTGGAAATTAAGCTGGAGATGGTCAAAGCTGCCGATGGATGAAAAATTCAGGAAGAGTCTGCCGAGACCTATGAAAATCGCCGGGGGTACATCTTTGTTGCCAATTAGACGGCACCCTTGGGAAGTTCGCCTTTGACTCCACCAGGTAAGTTTCCCGCTGTTCGACGAGAAATAGCTCTCCTCGAAGAGAAAGTTTCGAGCAAGAAGAAAAACGAACTAAAGCGTACGATACACAGAACATCAAAAAATATACAGGGTTATTGAAATTGAAGTTATCGTTCAGAAGCTATCGACCGTGCGCTGGTCTATAGCTGCGCAACAACAAGCCTAAGAGAAACGGCTTCGGACCTGCGACCCTCGCTTTCCATTTGAATTTCGTGTTGTGAACATATCCGTGCTGATGTCATTGAAGTGATCGCTTCGCTCTGCCTTTCAGCTAAAACTCCGTCCGAGGGACCATCAACTATAGTAGCCAATCGGTGTGCGTGGACAGCTGAGGGGGGCCCTACCGCTGCGGAGAAGACCTTCTGGAACTCTACGGGCTAATCCTCTGCAGCATCCTCTGCTCTATTCTCTCAGGGAACCTGCCTCCGGCTGTGGTAGATCTATTTCCCCTCTCTTTCAAATAACTGTAGCAGCTGCTTATACAAGCAGAGGGTTCACCAGTTTTGCGCAAGGGAACCAACCTAATCCTCATTGATCTTCCCACTTGTGTATACCTCCCCTCAGCAGTTGTTGTTGTCGTCTCTTTTAGCACAAATAGTTGGAAGTGTGCCAGCAGAGGAGACAAAAAGGAACATAATTTTTTCAAAAACGCTGAACTTCAAAGGTTAGACAGCTTTTCGATTCGAATGTGCTAAAGCAATGAGATACTAGCCATGAAGAAAAGAGTTTAGGCGTGAAAGCGCAGCAGATGAGAGAACGCCAGACACCGGACAGAATAAACTGAAGAACCTCTGCAAACCCAAATCGTCTTTGTTGCGCACAGTTTCTGAAGAACGGGATATCTGCGAACTTGAGAGCAGCTCTATACTGCACAGTAGAAGGATTCGTCCACACTGAGTTCATCCCGAGTTGCGCCTCTGATTTCTCGTGTCTGTGTCGCCTCGTAGAGTGAGACTGATGTCACACACTTATTAAAAGAGGCTTGAAAGACGTAGACATTTTCCGAAAATCTGATTGCTATCGGAAATAATTTTACTGGAACTCTCAAAAATGAATGCTTAATTTTGCTTGTAGAACATATGTTTAATGTCAAGAAAACATTTATTACTATATCTTTTTCTAGTCGATGATATTCGAATTCTAACGGCGAGATCCATCTTCGAAGAAGACACCTCCATCGAGGGCGCAATATTTGGGGCAGATTCCGCGCTCTCCAGGTGTTCCGGGGGTGCCTCTGTCTCCAGGCGTTCCTGGGTTTCCGTCTGGGCCAGGTTGACCGTTGCCTCCAGGTGGTCCCTTTGGTCCAGGTTGTCCTGCAAATATAATGAGATCTCAGTGCTGAAAATTAAAAAAACAATTAAGTAGACTTAATAGTACTCGAAAATTACCAGGAGCTCCAGGGTTTCCTGGCTGTCCATTGGGTCCAGGTGGTCCAGGAGGTCCGGGAGGTCCGGCAGGTCCTGGTGCTCCAGGAGTAGGAGGAACGGAGATGGCGGGTTGTCCAGGCTGTCCTGGGGCTCCTGGGCTTCCGGGGTTTCCGTTGGGTCCTGGTGGTCCCTTGGGTCCAGGTGTACCTGGGCCTCCTGGAGCTCCGGGTCCTCCTGGATTTCCGTCACGTCCAGCATCTCCAGGCTGTCCAGGTGCTCCTGGTGGTCCGGGTGGTCCAGCTGGGCAAGGGTTGCATGGAGCAGGGGTGTATTGTGGGCATGGCTGAACTGGTGGTCTGCCGGGGTTTCCTGGGGCTCCAGGAGCGCCAGGGTTTCCTGGTCGTCCTGCGTTTCCAGGAGTTCCTGCTGGTCCCGCACCTCCACCAGAGCAACAAGCGGTGCAGTCGTTTCCTCCATTGTAGCTGCCACCACCTCCACCAACGTTTCCGGTGTTGCCACCACCCAGCACGGCGTCATCGCTACCATATCCAGCCTGACGGGCGGTACGGTTGCCAGTGGTCTTCATGGTGTTCACCTCAGACCAGATATCACGGGCTGACGTCTGAAAGAACATTGATGAACATATATACTTACAAAGAAGCAAGAGAATAAAGTATCTTCAAGAGCTCACACGACAGTAGTTGAGTTCCGAGTGCATCGTGCGGCGCACATGGTGAACATAGTTGTACACCATAGGTAGAGTCGTGGCTGCTCCAAGGATGGCGACCAGGGAGAAAGCCACGGCGGAATAGGCCACAAAGCGGTAAGCTTTGCATCGATGCTGCCACTCAGTATCCATGTCTACGGTGTGCTTGACTGTGGGGTTCTATGCCATTTATAGGCGCGTCCGCTGCTGCATAACCTTGCCTTGCGCATAAAAACAATTCAGTTTTTCTCCAGTTGCCAGTTCGCGCCTACTGCGGACATATTATGGCACGCCTTGCCCTAGTGACGAGAAATTCATCTCTACAGAACAGTTGTCTAGTAGTGTGATGCACGGTGTCACTGTAACTGGGCAGTCAGCTGAGTGAAATACTGGGAGGAAGAGGCGAAGTTGCAGCAATAGACACCCATCGGTGGGTGCAGGGCGTGAGAGAGTACTGATCCTGTAGTGATCCATACTTAGTAACATACGGATTTCAGGTGATCAGTTTGTGAGGAAAAACTGGCTGAGCCGAAGCTTACTGTCACGGACCGCTGGGTGGGTCAAACCTTGCTTCATTTTTCTTGGCTTCAAAAAGCCTTCCATTCCTGGCATCCTGCACAAAGGGGAAGAAACCCACCCAGATCAAAAAAATACCCCCCATAACGGAAAATCGCATATAGTTGCTGAAAGAAAGGAGCTCTTTGTAACGTGCGAGACTGTCCTCGAACCCAGTTAGAGAGAATCTTGTATTACGTTAATTAGTTCCTGAGAAAAATGACTACGTCAGACCTCCAGGATAGAAAAACAATCTACAATCCTTTCAAGTCCTTTCAAACGCTTCTTCATTTAGGATTATTTATTTATTTTTTTCATTTTATTAATTTACTTATTTAGGATAAATCGTCAACTTCAGGAAGTGCAGGTTCATTCGTTCTTTGGTGACTTCTTTCGATATTTTTGTAAAACTCATGCGCGTTAGCCTTACATCAACGTCGTCTACACTGCATTCCGCGAGCGGGGATTCTTTCGCTCTAATCACGCTAATACGAATAATTCAGTTTTCCCGGCAGTTCCACTGCGGGGAACGAGTAGCATGCCATGTCACAGAGACACCCGCTATGACAAACCCATCCCTTTAGCGTCATGCGGACTTAATTTTCTCTTCTTTCCTTTCCGATTCTTCAAGCAGTGTTCTGCTGTGGTGGACTGTACATGGTCTTCTTCTCCTACTTACATTACAAAAGCCGAGGACTTTTTCAACGTACAGCTTCTTCATTTTCGGTGCTCGTGGCTATGGGCTTCTCCAATGCAATTTCCTGATATCTTCAGAGTTGCCGGAATAATAATGGTTTTTAAGGTCAGATTTTTAGACTGTCCGAGGAATGAAGCTCCACACTGAAGCTTGGGCACTGCGTCGTGTCACGAGCAGAACAGGCTAAAGAAAGCAGCAGCAGCGTGACAGCAACATGTGCCCTAGGTCGCGATGACCCATAAGTCGCTCATGATCCTCATTTGGCCAACTGCAGTGCTAAGATTGCGTAAGAATTATTCTCCCTTTCGTTCTTTTTTAGTAAATTTCATCCGTAATAGTTTCATGTACCTTTTGTAGAAGAATTCATGGGAAAAAAATTCGAATCTCTTACACACCATAACTGCTTTAGGTCGGAGTCGAATACAAAGGTCGTTCAGTTCCCAGAGAACCTTCATATTCGCTCTTCTACGGGATCTTCTCTTCTTAGCCGCCAAGGATGGAACGAGGTGTAAATGGCAAAGGCCGATTGGGGTGGGTGAAAGCATTTCTCATTCGTTTATCTTGAATTTGGATGATATCTGGAGAAGATTGAGGTTCGATTCTATTTGGAAATTCGCTTGAAAAAAGTTAGTTCAGAGTTTAATCTCTTGGTGGGTGTTATCTGCTAAGGCTTTCTGGAAAATTTCAAAGTGTAGGGTCAGATATCCTGAATTTCCGGCTTGCTTACGTAGCATCACAAGATAATAACTTCTTTGAAGGCTCTCTGGCGAAAGCGCAGGGCGAATTGGACAAGAGTCACTGATATCCTTTTCGTTCTCGGTTTAACAATGCTTTATCGCTTTGCTTACCGGTCATTGCACCCTGTACATATACGCACTACAACAACTAAGAAGATTTCCGGAAGAAGGGAGTTCGTTTGGAAGCCGAAGAGAAAGTGATCACGATAGGTCTAATAAGGATTATAGGAGACTGGTGGTGCTCAGTGGTACGCCAGTAGCGAAAAAAGCGGAGAAATCCGTCAAGAAAACGCAAAACGGGACCCCTTTTTTGGCCGTTAGTTTTCACTCATGAACAGGTAACAGCTCAGAAAGCGGACGTATGAACGAGTTCAGCGCATGACAGCATGCCAATCCATGCTACAATCGAGTTGCTTAGTTGTGCCGCTGCTGGCAACGCAGCTCGTCCAAATCACCAACTAAACTAGTGGGCGGATCGCTTTTGGGGGCGGAGTGCTTTCGAAGTCCTGCTCAGCAACCAGCGCACCTTTCGTCGTGAAAGCGCTACACCTCGCTTCCCTGGCAGCCAAGTAACTGATTCGTGTGGTGCATATGCTTCCCCGATGCGCTCCTTTTTATCGTAATCGCTGCCTTCAAAGCGCGGACAAAGCTCATGACTACGAAATTCACCAACACAATAATCACCTTATAGTACGTTTTACTTTCCCAAGAGAAATTTGAAGGTAGCCCAAACACACGTCACAGGTCAATAGGTCTGACTCTTTCGGAAAAGTAACTTCCAAAAGTTCTGTTCATGCCAGGTTGGTTTTGGTGGCGGTCTAATTTTCCATATCAGTGCAACATGGACAAACAAACGATGAGAGGAGAGAGATTTCTCTCGACAGGATGGGAATTACAAAACAAAGCTGTATCATGAATGAGCGGGGTCCTCAACTTCCAGAATTTTGAATAGTTAGGGAGTGGGGTACGAGGACTCTGAAGACGAGACTGCTGTCAATGCAGGCGACGCAAACTCAACGGAACAAGGGGAATCTGTGAAAGTTGTTGCGCCTTCACGAAGTGCATCTCACAATTCTCCCAATTTCGATCCGAACCAAATACTGAGTTTGCCCCATGAACAAAACAACCAACGAATGTGACTCCTTCAACTTTCGGTTTTTTACTAGTAAGCAATACATTTGAGAGCTGCTACTTTTGGGGGCCACACCGCGACCTATCCTAAGACTTTACTCGAGTGCTTGACAAGTGGTGTTACACATGTGTACCACCTCCTTAGTCGAAGTCACTACCACAGTTTTGGGCTATCAGGTGCAGCATACGCTAACGAACGATGAAAGATGGGACATTTAATTGGCCAAACCAGTCGGAGACTACGCGGCGTTCCACGACAGTGTAGATTCCAACCTCCAAGATTCTGACAGTTCCGATGGTGCGGAAGTGAAATTAGAAGACTACTATGACGACACAGATTTTGAAGCAGTAGAAGACGACGAAAACTCGTTAGAGCAGAAGCACCCGGTCAGACCCGCAGCGCTTCTACAGAGTGCGGCTTGCAATTCTACCCAAGTGTGGTCGCTACCGGACATTGGCTTTGTTCCACGAATGAGATGCTGAACTTGTAAGTTTGTAATCGTCAATTGAGCTGCTGATTTACATCTCAAAAATACGTATTGGAGGGGTAATGGAGTGGCGGCAAGAGGAGACCGCGCGCATAGTCCGTGGATCGGAATCCCAGGCCAAACCAAGCGAACGTCAGCCAATTTTCTATGGGTGCATAGTTGTTGCAATTAGCGATCGTTACTACGTAGAACACAATAACGGTAACTTAATTTTAAAAGTCCTAGTCTAAGGGTTGAAGTAATCTGGGAACAATCACCTCCATACGTGGGATTTTCGACACATTGACACCAGCGAGATGCGCATGCACTTCACATCTTCGTACGAACTAGACATTTTTGTCAATTTATCTCTCATTTTTCATGATCCCAGACTGTCTTCATGCATCATTGAACCTACAAAGCAGAATATCGGCCTACAGCTACAAACTTCTTCAAAGCGCATTCACAATTCAAAGAAATACAAAGGTGACACCCAGAGAACGCGCAATGAGCCACTTAAAGGAACGGAAAAAGCTCCGCCCTCATTACCACAGAAAACGATACCTTAAAGGAATCTTCCACGGAAAGAGTGATCATTTTGTCTTGTGTGTAGGATTAGTATTATCGAAACTAACGCTTATGTTCCGTTCTTTTTGCTATGCTCATGAGGCTAGGGGCCTAAGGGGTATCGTTTTTCTGTGGTAATGGAGGCGGAGCTTTTTCCGCGGAAGATTCCTTTAATGTGTCAGCTGCAAGGGTCAGGCTCATCCTCACTGCGGAAGCCAATCCCGTGGGTGGAGGAGTTTCCTACTGCGATGGTCAGACCATTGTTGTGTTTTGGTCACAACAGTGAGAAGTAGGTGCTAAGGACTGGGATCATCCTACGCCCACAAGGATCCGTGCTCGCCTACTATTCGATATCTTATTCATGTCGTAACGTTGATCTGCTATGTTTCCTAACTGGAATTTCCTTCCCCTCTCCGCGTCTCACCTCCTATTTCGCTTCCTACCTCTTAGACGTCTCCGCAGCGTAGATGGAAATGGCTCACGTTTTTCGTGTTTTTGTCGATTCTTTTTCATTTTTTCTCCACCTCTGTTCCACTTCGATTCCTTACTTTCAGATTCGTTTGAAATTAGCACATCAATTTGATCCTGCTCCTTGCATTTATTCCTCAGACTACATTTTTTCAGTCTACCGCACCTAGGCGGAAGTGGTGTAGTGGCAAGTGGCACGCTTACCACGCGAGCGGTCCGGGGATCAAATCCTGGGTCGTGAGTCGCCCGGGCCAACCAAGCCTTCCATCCGGGGTCGGTTAATTGGTACCAGACTTGTCTGGGAGGATAAAAACACTGACTTGTACATCGGCTGGCCCCCGCAAGTCATTGTATAGGCCACATCGCATTCAAACGCCACTACGAATGTACAAATGGAAGTAGAATGCGTGCCGCATCCCAAAAAGGGATTGATCAACGGCAAATGCTTTATCCTTTATCCTTTTATCCGCACCTACCAGAGACTAAACATCATTACTGGAATTTGGTTGACCTACACTGCCGCATAATTTTACAACCACCCATAATTCCTAAACTGTCCACTCAACATGTATCTATTAGGTCATCTCATTCAAACATGTCCACGGTTTTATTCGAATAAAATGAACAGCAGGAAAGATAAAAAGCTAATACTTTGGTGTTAAGTCAAGCAGATCTTGTCGTTGTTAACGACCCGATCCCAGCGTCTAGAAAACACTGGACACCGCGCAGCTTCTTCATTTCAACAAGTATAGACAAGATGCTTTTGATGTCAGTATAGATGATCAACGAATTGTCGTAGCGCTTCCCAACGAGTAGGGCGTTCAGTTCGCCAAAACAGCTGAGGTCGCACGGCTGCAGTTGGGAAAATACGGCGGATAAGTAAGAGGTCACAATATTCGAAATACCCGTGAGCAATATGAGCTATGTGGGGTCTGGTATCG